ATGGAAATTTTTAAAAATTTTGAAATGAATGACAAGGATAAGTTGTAGTAACAGCCAAATTCTACATACCACAACCTGTGGAATAGAGCAAAAGCATTGCTAAGAAGGAAGTTTATAGCATTAAATACCCGTATAAAAAATGTAGAATAATCATCAATTAACAATCTATCACTGCACCTCAAGGAATTAACAAAACAAGAAAAAAAAAAAAAAACCCAAAGTTAGCAGAACAAAAGCAGTAAGAGATCAGAGCAAAACAAAATAAATGGAGACAAAAACATTTGCAAGTGATCAAGGAAATTGTTTGTTCTTCGAATGACAAAATTGATAAACTACTAGCTAGTCAAGAACAAAGATCTAAACAAACCAAATCAGAAATAAATGAGACATTACAACTGAACTACAGAAATAGGAAAGATCATCAGAGACTATATTACCTTATAAATTAGAAAACCTAGAGGAAATGGATTCCTGGAAACAGATAAATTTCTGGAAACATATAATACAACCTCCCAAGGTTGAACCAGAAGAAACAAAAATCCTGAACAAACCAATAATGTAAATAGCAAGAATGAATCCATAATAATAAAAAATGTCCTAACAACAACAAAAAAGCCCAAGATAAAATGTAGTAACAGCCAAATTCTACCAAGTATACCAAGAACTAATACAAATACTCCTGAAACTGTTACAAAACATTGAGGAGGAGGGAATTCTCCCTAACTCATTCTGTAAGGCCAGTGTAACACTGATATCAAAACCAGACAAGAACACAACACAAAAAAGAAAATAGATGAATATTCCTGATCAACACAGACCATAGACACAAAAATCTTCAGCAAAATACTAGCAAATTGAGTCCAACAGCACATCAGAAAGATAATACACCATGATCAAGGGGGTTTTATGCCAGGGATGAAAGAACAGTTCAGTATATGCAACTCAATAAATATGATACATCACATGAACAGAATTAAGGACAAAAATCATATAATCATCTCAATAGATGTAGAAAAAGCAATGTGATAAAATTCAGTATTCCTTCATGATAAAATCCTTCATAAACTAGGCACAGAAGGAACACAACTCAAAATAATAAATGCCATCTATGACAAACCCATAGCCAACATCATACTGAATAGGGAGAAAGCTGAAGGCATTCTCCCTAAGAATTTAAACAAGACAAGGGTGCCCACTTTCATCACTCCTATTCAACATAGTACTGGAAGTCCTAACCCCAGCAATCAGGCAAGATAAACAAATACAAGTCTTTCAAATAGGAAAAGAGGAAGTCAAATTATCTGTGTTCAAATTACCTGTGATCTTAATTTAGAAAACCCTAAGGACTCCACCAAAAAAAATCTTAGATTGGATAAATGAATTTAGCAGAGTTTCAGGATACAAAATCAAGGTATAAAAATCAGTAGCATTTCTATACACTAACAATGATATAGCTGAGACCCAAACTAAGAAGGCAATTCCATTTATAAAAGATACCAAAAAAAGGACCTAGAAATGTATTTAATCAAGGAGGTAAAAGATCTCTATAAGGAAAACTACAAAACACCGATGAAAGAAACCATAGATGACACACACAAAGGTAAAAACATTACATGCTCATGGATTGGAAGAATTAATACTGTTAAAAACAACCATAGTGCCCATAGGAATCTACAGATTCAAGGTAATCCCTATCAAAATACCAATTTCATTTTTCACAGAATTAGAACAATCCTAAAATTCATATGCAACACAAAAACCCAAATAGTCAAAGCAATCCTAAGCAAAAAGAACAAAGCTGGCAGGACTATATCATCTGACTTCAAATTATACCGTAAGACCGTTGTAACCAAAGCATCAATTGTACTGGTATAAAATGAGACACAATCAATGGAACAGAATGGAGAATCTAGAAATAAACCCACATACAGCTAACTGATCTTTGACAAAACTGAGAACATATACTGGAGAAAGTATGCTTATTATGTGTGACAGAAAAATCTGTACACCAAACCTCCACGACAGGTAATTTACCCATATTACAATCCTGCATGTCTACCGCTTGAACCTAAAAGTTGGAAGAAAAAAAGTGGGCTAAGAACATGCTTATACACTGTTGGTGGGTATGTAAATTAACACAATCTCCATGGAAAACAGAATTAAGATTTCTCAAAAAAGTAAAAATAGAACTACTCTTTGATCCAGTAATCTAAACAAAGGAACAGAAATCATTATATCAAAACAATAGCCCCACTCCGTTTACTGCAGCACTATTTACAATAGCAAAGACGTGGATTAAATGTAAGTGTCCATTGATGGATGACTGGATCAAGAAAATGTGGTCTCTATGCACAAAGAAATACTATCCAGCCATAAAAAAGAATGAAATCCTGTCTTTTACAGCAACAAGACAGAACTGGAGGCCATTATCTTAAAAGAAACAACTCAGACACAAAAGCAAAAACCATGTGATCTCACTTATATGTGGGAGCTAAATAATGTGTACACATGGAGGTGGAGTGATAGACACTGGAACTCAGAAGCATGCTGGGGGTATCAGAGGGGCAGGGATGAGAATTACATAATGCCAATATTCAACATCCTTAAAGAAAAGAACTTTCAACCTAGAATTTCATGTCCCGCCAAACTAAGCTTCATAAGCGAAGGAAAATAAAATCTTTTGGGAACAAGCAAGTACTCAGAGATTTCATCACCACCAGGCCTGCTTTACAAGCGCTTCTGAAAGAACCACTACACATAGAAAGGAACAACCAGTATCAGCCTTTCCAAAAATATACCAAAAAGTAAAGAGCATCAACATAATGAAGAATTTACATCAACTAATGGGCAAAACAGCCAGCTAACATCAAATGGCAGTATTAAACTCACATATATTATTATTAATCCTAAATTTAAATCGACTAAATCCCCCAATCAAAAGACACAGCCAAAGCTCATTGGTATGCTGCATCCAGACCCATCTCACATGCAAGGATACACAAAGACTCAAAACAAAGGGATGGAGAAAGATTTACCAACCAAATGGAGAGCAAAAATAAATACATAAAAAGCAGGAGTTGTAATTCTCACCTCTGATAAAATAGACTTTAAAGCAACAAAGATCAAAAGAGGCAAAGGAGGACATTACGTAACGGTAAAAGGATCAATGCAACAAGAAGAGCTAACGATCCTAAATATATACGCACCCAATACAGGAGCACCCAGATACATAAGACTTACAAAGAGATTTAGACTCCCAAACAATAATAGTGGGAGACTTCAACATCAATATTAGACAGATCAACGAGACAGAAAATTAACAAGCATATCCAGGACTTCAACTCAGATCTGGAACAAGTAAACTTAATAAACATTTATAGAACTCTCCACTTTAAATACACAAAACATACACTCTTATTAGCACCACATCATACCTACTTACAGGTTTAAATGAAAGATTGGTTGGCTGCTTTTTTGTTATTTTCTTCCCCCATTTTTTCCTGTCTCCATTATTAAGCACAATTATTGGTATAAAAGGTTTTCAATACCCATTTTTAGACTGCATTCTAGCCTGGGCAATAAAGCAACACTTCCGTTCTCTCTCCCTCTTTCTTCCTCTCCTTCATTCTTTTTTTTTTTCTTTCTCTTCCTTTTTTTTCTTTCTTTAAAACAAAACAAAACAAACAAAAGAGTGTTTCGTGAGATTAGAAAAAAGGCCAGGTAATCTTGGCATCCTGAAAGCTGAAAGAGGAAGGGGGAGTGTCTATGTTAAATTTTGATGAGGCTCACAGGACTTTGCACTTTGGGAGGCCAAGGCAGGCAGATCACTTGAGGTCAGGAGTTCAGATCATCCTGGCCAACATGAGAAAACCCCGTCTCTACATCTCTACTAAAAATACAAAAATTAACGGGAGGTGGTGATGCGTGCCTGTAATCTCAGTTACTGGAGAGGCTGAGGCACAGAATCGCTTCAACCCGGGAGGCAGAGGTTGCAGTGAGCTGAGATCACACTACTACACCCCAGGCTGGGCGACAGAGCAAGACTCCTCATCTCAAATTTTTTAAAAAGAGAAATTACATAATGCACAATGTGCAGTATTCCAATAATGGGTAGTACACTAGAAGTCCTGACCTCACCACTACACAATAGCCATGTAACAAAAAATACTTGTACTCCTTAAATTTTTGCAAATAAAAAAAATCAGAAAAAACTTAGTTTTTCTAATTGACTACACTCAGGTTTAAATAAACACATCTAAGAGCTGAATAAATTAAAATGAAATTAGTGATTCTGACTAAATATTTTCTTGCATATATACATACACACACATATATGTATAAGTATGCATACTATCTATGACAACCTTTAGGAAGTTCTTTGGAACTGTTCAGGTACAACTCTAGAGAACCTAGCCCAGTGACAGCAGTACCCTGGTAAAAAGTCACTGAGTATGTCTACTCTTATAATTTTGGTCTTTAGCAATTCACAGACTTCATCTTTTTCAGCCACATTTATCACAATAGTTTTTAAAATTTTCTTTTAAATTGTGGCAAAATACCTTTTTACTCCTAAAATATGTATCTTTTACTCCTCAATTTTGAAAGTGTTCCTGAACCTCTTTCAGGCCAGAAACATTCTTCTGATTTAATATCCAGTTTCAAACCTGACCTCTAGCTAACTTACTTCTCTTCCCAGTAATATTTATACATGATTAACTCTTTGGTAATTTTTGCTGGAGAATTTGGTAAGCTGTGGTTAGGTACTACATTTCCATCATAGTTTTGAACTCTGTATCCTCTGTGCCATATTTTGAAGGCTGATAATTTGGTCTTCCATTCTGTATCAAATGTAAGACATAAATGCATTGTGCCTTATGTAGGCCGTAAGATAAACTGTTATTGTTACAAGTTAACTGGTTTTCTGCCCCAAAGACAAACATTAGGCATTTCTTCCCATCGTAAATACTTTCATTCACCCAGTTCTATTCTGTACTTCACAGGCTGCTCAAGAAAAAGAAGAACTTCAAAGGGAAGGTGACTCTCTGGATGCTAAAATCAACAAAGCTGAAAAAGAAATCTACGCTCTAGAAAACACCCTGCAAGTGCTGAACAGCTGTAACAACAATTACAAGCAATCTTTAAAAAAAGTGACTCCGTCCAGTATGTAGGAGTCTAAATTATATATATATACATTTATACATATACGTACATATACACACACACACATATATATGCAGTGACAAGTGTATAGATAAATGCAACACTGAGACATGGAGAAGAACAAAAGGGTACTATGTTTGATTGGATCAGAAAAACTAATCCCTTTTCTTTCTTCCCCTCACACCTTTTTTTTTGGTAGGTGGTTTGTTAGGGTGTTGCTTCCATATTACTTCTGGTTTGGTATGGCATATCACCTCTCTAGGGTAATCAGTTCAAAAAGTGAAAAAAAAAAAGGCACCATATTGCTGCTTTATGTAGACCAAACAAGAAATGGCTACTACATGTCTATAGTGTTTTTCTACCAGTGGATATAAAAAATTTAACCTTTCATAACAAATACTGGTGTAACTTATGTAATACTTTAAAACTGATTTCTACATAGTACGTTGAAAATTAAACTAGAAATGTTCTACATTCCAGGTGATGAGTATGAGCTACAAATTCAACTAGAAGAACAGAAAAGAGCTGTTGATGAAAAATACAGATACAAACAAAGACAAATCAGAGAACTTCAAGAAGACATCCAGGTAAATTCTACAGGCATTTTAGTAATATGCCTTCAGTAAAAGTCAACTATCATTACTACCACTTCTATCCTCTTCATCTTGGACCAGGAAGACAGTTATTTAGAATCTCTTTTAGGGAAGCAGATCGTGAGAGAGAACAGTCTCATTTAAAGCAGACAAAAACAAGTGCTCAAAGTCTCAGACAAACTAAAATCTCAGTGCTAAGCACTGCCAATTACTTGTTATTAGTTGGTAGATCACAGTTATTATGATGTACCCATTAACCCTTTAAGGAACTTTAATTTTTTACAGATCACATTAAGATTGCTCCTTAAAGAGTTTGAAAGAAAAAAAAATCTAGTACAAAGTAGTTACTAAAGCAAATCACTAAAAGGTAAAAGAATGTGCCTTGTAAAAAAACTACATAAAAATTGATTTTACTAATAAAGCTGAAGAGACACTATGAATTTTTGAAAATTCCATTTTGACATTTTTTCCCAAATACCATAAAAATAATTTCCAGTTGAATTACATACAAAATTTAATCCACAAAACCATTACACAGTTGTGCACTGCATAACAATGGGAGTGCTTGTTAGTGAACATCCTCAGAGTGTACTTATGCAAACCTTGATGGTTAGTTCACTGTTCCTAGGCTATAAATCTGCAGTGTGTTACTGTACTGAGTTCTATAGGCAACTGTAACACAATGGTACTTAAACAGCTAAACAAATCTAAACATAGAAAATGTACAATAAAAATCAGTCTAATGGACAAAAAAAGGGTACACTTGTACAGGGCACTTCCCAGACATGGAGCTTGCAGGGCTGGAAGTTGCTCTTGGTGAGTCAGCGAGTGAGTGGTGAGAGAACGTGAAGGCCTAGGACACTACTGTAGACACGATGAACAATGTACACCCAGGCTAAAGTAAATTCATAAAAATCATTTTATTTCTCCAATAGTGAATTGACCTTAGCTTACTATAGCTTTTTAACTTTAAAAATTTTTAATTTTGTAAGACTTTTTGACTTTTGTAATAACACTTAGCTTAAACACATATTGTTCAACTGCACAAAAATGTTCTTTCTTTATATCCTTATTCTCTAAGCTCTTTTCTATTTTTAATTTTTACTTTTTAACTTTTTTGTTAAAAACTAAGACACATATACACACACATAAACCTAAGCCTTCCCGGGGTCAGGGTCATCAGTATCACTGTCTTCCAGCTCCATATCTTGTCCCACTTGAAGCTCTTCAGGGCCAGTAACATGAATGGAGCTCTTTCATCTCCTATAACAATGCCTTCTTCTGGAATACCTCCTGAATGACCTGCCTGAGTCTGTTTTACAGTTAACTTTTTTAAATAAATAGAAGTACACTGTAAAACAATGATAAAAGTATACTGTATAGTAAATACATAAATCAGTATTATCATTTATTATCAAGTATTATGCACTGTACATAATCATATGTGCTAGACTTTTATATGACTGGCAATGCGCATTTGTTTACACTAGCATCACCACAAACTGATGAGTACTGTATTGTGCTACAACACTACAATGTCACTAGGTCACAGGAACTTTTCAGCTCCACTGTAATCTTATGGGACCACCATCATATATGCAGTCTATCACTGACCAAGACATGATGTTAAGAGGTCCACCACTGTACTTATTAGTCACTAACAGAAATAATGTATATATGTACAGAAATGAGTTAAAATTCAATGAATACTTGATAAATGCAAAGTTATAAAAGTCAATTTCAGATTCTAACAAATACAGTAATACTTTTTCTACAGAGCATGGAAAATACATTAGAAGTTCTAGAACGTTTAGCAAATAATGTCAAAGAAAAATTATCAGAGAAGCAGGCTTATTCATTTCAACTAAATAAAGACACGGAGGAGCAGAAGCCAAAATTAGAAAGAGTGACGAAACAGGTATTGATATTTTGAAAAACTGACCTGTCATATTTTTGAAGTCCCAAATCCTCCTTTATCTATTAAAAATATTAAATTCTGGAACACAGTTTTATAGAATAATTGACTTATTTACCAACAGTGTGCAAAACTCACAAAGGAAATCCGTCTTTTGAAAGACACAAAAGGTGAATCACTGGAAGAACAAGATATCAAACTTCGTGAACTCAAACACTTTCAAAAGGTTATTGATGAAATGTTAGTTGGTATCACAGAAGAAAATGCTGAGATCCGTATTATCCTTCAAACATACTTTCAACAGGTAATATACAGCACCTCCTATTAAATATAAACACTTCATGAAAATGAAATTTTTATGGCATTCATCATGAAGTGATATCTAATTAACAATATTTCTCCTCTAAAAAAATAGTAATACTAATGACTGCTATTGAATATTCCTCCAGAGTGGGTTAGACCTACCTACAGCTAGTACTAAAGGCAGTCACCAGAGTTCTAGATATGCTTCACACACTTCACTACCATCAGCAAGGTAAGTGGAAGGTTACAAAACAATCTCCTTAACTCACATCTGTACACTAAGTGATCCCAGCCACCTCTATGTCACCCTAGCTGTTGGGACAGGCCCATGCACCCACTGCTGTGTTCTTTGCACTCTCAGACGTCTCACTAGTCAGCATCATAGACATTAGATGCAGAAACCACCAGCAGAACCGGAATTTCGTTCTGACTTCTGCTGGTGTCACTACTTCCAATATAACCCAAGTGCTCTGTGATTATCAGCTATTTCAGTAGGATAAAGCAGAAATAAATTTGGGGGCTACGTCTAACATTTGGGGGTAAACTTGGGGGATTATCTTTTAAACCTGTAAGGGCAGCTTAGATGTACAGACATATAGAATATGATTTTTGTGATTAAAACCACATTGTGCTATTTTACATAATTAGGATTTGACTTTATGAAGCTTTATTTTGCTAAAAAGGAAACATTTTTTTCCTTCTGCAGTTTATTGTTACCCACAATTCTATCACCAAATGCTTAAACCAACATTCTCATGCTGTGCTGACAAAAACTTATTAATAATAATCCTAAATTTAGAATTCACAATCTCCTGCATTTAGTAGCTATGCACTAAATTACTATTCCTTAGTCCATGTAAAGATTTCATGAAGAGGCCCCTAAAAAAGTGTTTAAGTATAAAAAAGTTTCTATGTAATTGAACATCCCTGTACTTTCATAAAATATGTATATTTAAAACTTATCATTTCAGAATTACAGCTGTATTTCAGATGATCCCACCACTTCCACTTTACCCATCAGTATGCTTCTCACCTAAATTACAAAGGGAATCATTTTAATTGTTCTTGCCAGCACCAAAATCCTATTGCCCCTCTTTCCAATGTCTTGGAAATTTAATGATTCCAACTCCAAAAAACTGATTATAGTTGAAAGCATTTTTACCATATAGAAACACAATTAAACCACTTTTCTACTGATGTGAAACTCATCTATGTTCATCTTTCTTTCCCTTTTTAAATTTTTTGATATCTATTAATGGTCATTTAAAAAATTTATTAACACTATTAATATGTACTTTTTAAATCTCTTTACTTAGGAATTACGGTATCTTTTGCCAATAATGGAGGGGTCTATACTAAAATATAAACTTTGCATTAAACTTATAATTCTGGTTTTTCTTCTAGGTCATCTAGGAGGACAAGTACACCTGCTTCTCAGACTTCAGTTAAAGTATTAGAGCTTAACTTCCCGGCCTCCTCTTCACTAGCAGGCAGCCCTTCCAGGCCAGCTAGTGCTAGCAGTAGCTCTAGTAATGGGAAGAGCAAAAAAAGCAGCAAATAAACACTTTAATTTCTTCTCAAAAAGTTGTAAACATAAAAATAAAAATATCATACTTCAAAATACAAAATGATCCAACACATTTTATCTAGTGGAAAGTGTAAAAACTTATTAATAGCAGATTCTTGACAAGGCTACAGGTCATACAAGCATAGGGAAAACCCTGTATTTCCCTATAACTCTGATGTGCGTAGTGTTAGAAAATAGTTTGTTTTATTATTTCACAAACTACACTCATTTCTAATGTAACAATCTTTCAGGAAGAAATTTCTAAAGATTTATTCTACTATTATGAGCTTATTACAATGTTAAAATCTCACTTACCCCTTAAGACACCAAAATTAGGTTTTCTTTATTCAAAGTAACTATTTCTCAGACTTTTGGGGAGCAAAGTTATTAAAGGTAGTTTCTTCTTTTGGTATAATTTTTAACCAAAAAATAGCATGAACCCCCACTCTCCCCCCAAAAATCCAATTGATAAAACACTGTACATCCATTTTAAAATGCAGCTTAAATTTCTAAAAATCACTTCATTCTGACCTTGAAAGAAATCAAAAGCATTAAAGATTTCCTTACAGATACAGCCAAGTATAAAAAATACATTTTTGAAACGTTCTTAATAAACAATTTAATGAAAACTAGATATGATTTGATTAAGTTTACAGTTGGAGGTAGACTGCCAAATTTAGTAGTTTTCCCAGTTAACACTTCATCGTAACATGTGCCCAACACTTTGTACTCTTGGAATAGAATGTGGAATATTATAAAACTGGATTTTAAATAAATGTATTAGAATTCATGAATGTACATGTGTCTCCTTTAAACCCACGGGAAAAAAAACTCATTACAACTGTCATTTTAGAACTGCTCTTGGTATTTCTTTCTGAAAAGCAGTAATGGTAGTGAATAGTTTTCCTGATTATTTTTTTTTTTTAGAAATAGTGAGGGAAAGGCATAGCAAAGTCCAAAGAACAAGATGGGCAAAAAAAAGCCAGGTAATAAAATTTTTGGCTGAAGTATTGCTCTAATGCATGAGATTTATAGAACTAAAAACTGATTAAAGCCACTTTGCTCACCAAAGTTCTTACTCTCAGCCCTATTCTAGTTTGAGAATTACTTAAATCTTGAAGTAACACTAAACACTGTTCTGTGCAGGCAGAGGTTCTATCTCACGAGCTCTGTAACCTTCGATAGTTGCTTCCTTTTTCCTCATTTGTAATACAGACGCAGAAAGAAATCACTGGATAATACAAAAAGGACGCACAGGGCTCGACGCACAGAAATTGCACTATGTAACAACTTCTACTTACTGAGTCGCTACCCAGAGCTTAGCACATCCATAGAATGGCTTGGTTCTTAGGCCAGCATACAAGTCTAACTTCAGTGTACTAATGACAGTTCTAACTTCAGTGTACTCGTGATAAACGGTGCAATAGGGGATCAATCCATCTCCATCCTGGACAGTTGTCCTCATATCCAAAAGTCGCACTTACTCTGCTTATGGAGACCAAGATATTTTCTCCCACTCTGCAGGTTGTCTGTTCACTGTGTTATTTCTTTTGCTGTGCAAATGCTTCTTCGTTTACTTAAGTCCCATTTTGTTTTTGTTGTGTTTAAGACACCAGTTTCGCTGTCACCCAGGCTGGAGTGCAGTGGCACAATCAGAGCCCACTGCAGCCTCAAACTCCTGGGCTCAAGTGATCCTCCTGCATAGCTGGGACTATAGGCATGCACCACCACACCCAGCTTATCTGTAAATGTTTTGTAGAGATGGAGTCATGCTGTGTTGCCCAGGCCAGTCTCAAATGTCTTGCCTCAAGCAATCCTCCTGCGTCAGGCTCAAGGGCTGCATAAGCCATTGTACTCGGCCCCTTTTGCTTGTACTTTTGAGGTCTTAATCATGAACATGCCTACACCAATGTTGGTAGGTTATGAGGGGGTGAGGGAAGAGAAATTATGTAATGGGTGCCATGTGTAACATTTGGGTGACGGTTAAGCTAGAAGCCCAGACTTCACTACACAATATATCCATGTAAGAAAAACGCACTTGTACCTCCTTCAATTTATATGAATTTAAGAAAAAAAATTTTTTAAATGGTGTGTTGAAAACTGTAAGCTGTACTAGGTATTCCAAAAGGTCAAACATGCCAAGAGATAGTTTTCACTCTATAAACACCATTACATAGTAAACTATGTAAAGATGATACTGGAGCTATTAATACATAGAATTAAGGACTCTTTTAAGACAAATTTCTTAAAAGAAGCTGCTTCTTGGTGCAAAGAGTAATGCGTTGAGTGACCAAGCCCATTTCTACCACCGTACTCTACTGCTCTTGATCAGGGTCTCTCTTCCCTGTTGCGTTTGCAACACAGATTTCAGACTTTTCACTAGGCCCTCATCCCTGGAGTTTGACAGATACAAAATACACACCCAGTACTTAAAGCCTGGACATTTTACCGCTGGCAAGAACTGCAAGACAGAACAGGGAATCAAAGTATCTTCTTCCTGTATTATTCTCCCTTACTTAGACTTCTGTAGACACCCAGCTACCCACCTACTTATCTAGCATCATTGTGTGTGACAGTATCCAAAGCCTGTTATAATTTACGGCTTCAAGAATCTTAAACTGCAAAGACCCAATGACATCATAAACCCAATACCTACAACTCCTATCTCTATCTCCCACAGAATATACTATACTATTTTCAGAGATTCGGGGAGTTTCTTTGTTCTTCAGCTCTAGCTGCTGGAACTTATTCTGAGTAAAACCAGGCTCTGGTTGGTCTAGTTATTTATTCAGACTCTGAGGAAGGGTTCACCAGGGAAGCATCAAGGGACAGGAGGCAGTGTGAGGTGGAGAAATGCGGGTCAGATTTCACAACATGCCTGGTGCCCTGGACTGAACATCTGCAACACTCTGACAGTCTCCCAAGTTTCTTCCCCTAGAGAAAAGCCGGGTTTACAACGTGCTTCTCTGCTACTGGTATGGTTTTGCTAAAAAGATTTTCTTTTCTGATGTACTCTTGCCTGGAATATAGGCCCTAAGGGTCTTGCAAATATTTCAAGTTAAAAAGCTTTTTATCGCTACAATGCTAGCAACAGGTAAAAAGAATGGAGAAACCAGCAAAATGGGCTTCTATTCAACTTTTATGGTCTTATTCCTCAGGCACTTATGCTGGGTGCAAGCCAATGACTGTTCACAACCACTTTTAATCAAATCGGGCTTTAGAGGAAAATGAAGACATATAATCTGTCTACCATTTAAAAATTTTTAAAAATCTGGGCAAAAATGTAATAATTAAACTGATCAATATAAAAGTGTTCAAGAAATACTCGAACATATAATCTTTCAAAAGCTGATGATCTTTAATTTAACAGAAAAGAAAATGTAATCATTTTTGATAAAAATGATCCATGTGTTCAATGCACAAATTTTCTCTCAAACAGCAGGGTAAGTGGACCCAGGAATTCTCATATACCGTAACAGAAAGAAGAAACAGTACTTTCAGAGAATTATCTTTAAGCAAAGAAATTCAAACTGTAATATACTATACATAAATACATACATAAAAAGCCTAAAAACCAAGCTGTGACAGGGACCTATGACTGAAAGAAAATTTGAGAAAAGCTTAAAAGCATTTGTTTCCTGTGATCTCGACACATAATTTTAGGAGCAGAGATTTCTGCACTGAACTGTTACGACTAAAAACACCCAAAACCTTACTTAATGGCATTCTGTGTAATGGCGCTGATATCCTTGGTGTATTAATTTTTTGACTTATTTCCTTTTTCTTTTTCAAATTCAGCTATCTGATTGAATATATTGAGTAAGTTCTGAGGTAAATTTTTTTTAACACTGCCTTCCGAGTGTCCTTTGCTACTGAACGCAGCTTCCTCTGGAACCTCTGTTCTGCCGCCCTCCCCACAATTGTCCTCTCTGTCATCCTCTCCCTGACTTGCATTTAACCGGTATCTTTGCTCATGTCTACTGAAATCACGTGATCCAGAGGGAGTATGCTTTCTGTATTTCTCACCTGACTTCCAAGAGTAGTCTGAGCTTGCCGGTGAGGTAGAAGGCCTCACAGAACCTGGTTCCCACCTTCTATAGTGCTCCTTTCTTCCTTCTATATCCTTTTCAAATCTCCTGTAACCATGTATCTTGTCCTCTGAATTCCTACAGAAAAAATCTGAGGAATTTCTTCTACTAGAAAAATGTCTTTCTGTTTTATATGGCTTTTCTGTTTTGCTACTACCTGCTTGGGTTTTATAGCTATTATAAAAACCTCTTGGATCTTCAGACCTACCTCCAAAATCATCCGGTATTTCAAGTGAAGATGAAGAGAGAGGGCATCTATCTTTCTCTTTGATCTGTGTCTTTTCACACTGCAACCTAGCCTGCTTTCCCAGGAGTTTCTCCACTTCTTGTTTATGGTTAAGAAAAGACGCTGAAGTATTAGCTGGAACTGGGTAGCACTCATCTTTCCTATTCTGATCTATCTGAGTTGAGGATGCCCTAGATGAATGCCTTCTGGAACTTCGAGAAGACTCTGAACGGTTCCTCTTATGTTTCTTATGCCTTTTGTGACCAGAAGACGAAGAGGATGATGATGAAGACACTGACTCATCAGCAGAAGAAACACTTGAAGAGGAAGAAGTTGATTTTCTTCTTTTCTTCTTTAGCCTAAAAAAAATATAGTTTACCGTGTCATGTATGTACAAAAATGTTTCTTAATTATTCATAAAGATGTGGGTCCTATTTGTTTCCTTTAAAGATTTTATAAAACTGTGGTTCAGATACATGATATAATAATCTCAGCTACTACAAGATCTCATATTACCATTAAGCACTTTTGGGAGGAAAAAATGCTTGCAGACATGTATCATTTTAAGTAAATCCATCATTTCTGAAAGACAGAGACTTTTTCACCGCTACCTTAAAAACTTAAGACTACTGAACACATATAGGAGAGAATTCAAGTTTTGTACTTGGCTACTCTAGTTCATGGTTGCTTCACCTGATTACTGGTATTTTCAGCCTAATAATTCTCTGTCGGGGGTGGGCCCATGGGAGCTGTCCTGTGCACTGCAGCATGTTTAATAGCATCCCTGACCAATACACATTAGATGCAGTAGCACCCTATTAGTTGCAATCAAAAATGTCTCCAGATGTTGTCAAAGGTCCCTGGGGGAATAAATCCACTCCTAGCTGAGAATCACTGCTCTAGTTCTAAAACCTTTCTTCTTGAAATACAATTAAAGCAACTTCAGAAAAATGTATGGAACACATACTTGCTAAAGATTCTTAACAGTCATTGATTACCACTTGAAATACTTTCATATTTTTATTTACTTTACCTCCAGTATGGCACTTTAGGTTCAGTTCAGTAGGTGCCTTAAGTTTAAAAATACTGAATATTATAGTTTACCTCTTCTCTTCTTTTAAGAGCTTACGCAATTTTTCTGCACTTGTTTCTATTTTCTTTGTTTTCTGCTTTTCTTCCTTTTCAGCTTGTTTTTCTCTTAATTCCAAAGATTTCTTTTAGAACCCAGATATCGAAAAAAACCACACGTTAAAAATAGCAGAATATATAAAAAACCCAGTATTCAAAAGACCACCCCCAACCAGAAGCCCAATTCAGTAAAACCATATAGCCAGCATTAAGCAGTTTTTTAACATAAAGAAATTAATCATACAGATGTTTGGCATTAATCATTGAAATGGCCAGAGCAGCATTGAGGACCATATTGCAGTTGGTATTCCATCAAA